TTACTCCTAATTTATGTGCATAGTGGCCCTATTTAGTATTAATAAATTTTATTTCTATTTCAACCAGGTGAATCTCATCTAAATGTTCAAGTTAGCAACTTTAAGTCTGGAAAAGGAGATCCTACACTTCAGGGTGAGAGAAATTACATGTAAACTTAAATTGAAGGCCCATCAAAATAGAAACTTACACGCATGTCTCTTTCCTCACATGAATGACACAGAAAGGGAAATGGGGCTTAATAGTTTTTAATTACTAAAGTAACATAATCACAATCTAGAGATTTTAGAAAATAGATAAAAAGTAAAATCACTCCCATTTCTAATAGTCTTTGATATGTTCTAGTTGTTGACCCCTCTCCTCCATATGTGAAAACATTATTTTAATATATACAATTTTGATTCTCGCTTGCCTCATTTAAGCCAGTGAAGAAAAGAAGGATTTTTTTTTTTGGACTTCTGTTTAATATAGGCATATATAGGATAAAGGCTTTTCCACTCTTTATTAAGAAAAAAGCCTTAATACCTACAACCTTTGAAACTGCTTCCTTAACACTATCAAGTATTTCACAATAAGTATAGTCTAAAGTTATACCGTGCTTCACAAATAGAAAACATACTTTATTTACTTATTTATGATAAAGATTGAATTAAATTGGTGATATATCTTACCTAAAAACTAAAGTGTTGTAGTACAACTTAAATTCAGAAATGAAAAGGCACCTTCTCATTTTAGGCTTGTTCTTAACACTGTCAGCTTTCTTCTTTCCCATGGTTCTGAGTCCTGACTACACATTAAAATCATCTAGGAAGCTTAGAAAAACAGCAATCATGTATATACAAAGGGACATAGACTTGTATAGGCACACACACACACCTACATGCATTTATATATCCATACAGACACATAAGCACATATAATTGTATACAAGTATATATGTACATACATACTGATGTCTGGATTCCACCCCTAGAGATTCTGATTTTAATTTGTCTGGGCTGAGACTCCAGTGTCTACTTTTTTAAAAAAATATATTTATTTTTATTGATTTCAGAGAGGAAGGGAGAGGGAAAAAGAGGTAGAAATAGAAGCATCAATGATGAAAGAAAGTCATTGATCAGCTGCCTCCTGTGCGCCCCCTAATGGAGATCGAGCCCGAAACCTGGGCATGTGCCCTTGACTGGAATTGAACCTGGGACCAAGCCAACCTTCTATTCACTGAGCCAAACCAGCTAGGGCTCCAGTGTCTACTTTTAAGGAAATTTTCACATAACAAGTCTAGAAGCAGGCTGGATGTAATGTGAGGTTATTTTTCATTTCTAATATTATATACAGTGTTGCAGTAAACATCTTTCATGCATGAAAAGAAAAATTTTTCAGTTGATTTTAATGATTTTAGAATTAGTGCTTTATACATAGTATATATGTAAATATTTAAGTAAAGAACCTGTAATTAAGACGAAATCTTTATATTTTTAGTGGGTAAGTATTCTGAGTATACAGACTATATTGGTTTCCTTTTTGTTCTATTGCATTTCCTTTGAACAAGTCATTCTGCTGTTGAAAACATTAGTGAATATATATTAAGGTCTAACCTCCTCTTAGTTTTTAACTTAAAAGTCATTCATGCGGGTCATGTCACTTTTTAAATTCTTTATTTTCTTCTTTCAAGCTCAGGCTATTTAGAGGGCAGTATGGGGAAATAATGAGTGATAAATATAAACTGAGCAATGCTAGAAATTTGAAAATATCCCAGTTTTAAGAAAGAGTCATGTACCAGTTTTTTAATCTTTATTTTCTTTCTTTAAGTTTCTTCAGGATTGAATGAAAACCTCACTATAAATGGAGGAGGCTGGAATGAAAAGTCTATAAAACTCTCCTCACAGATAAGTGCAGGGGAGGAGAAGTGGAACTCTGTTTCACCTGCTTCTGCAGGCAAGAGGAAAACTGAGCCATCTGCTTGGGGTCAAGACACTGGAGATGCTAATGCGAATGGAAAAGACTGGGGAAGGAGTTGGAGTGACCGTTCAATTTTTTCTGGCATTGGTAAGAAATGTTAGAAATTTTTGAATTCATTTAAAATTGTTTATCTGGTACATTGTGAATTTCCCAGGAATGAAAAAAGATCCATGAGTATAAAATTTAGTAATACCATACAGAAATAATAGCAATAATTAACTCATCTCAGGTCCTTCTTATGGAGCAAACTAAGTAAATAATAGCATGTATTATTTGCTCTTGACTTAGTGCTTTCACATACTTCATCACATTTGATTACCCATGTAGCTAATGGGTATAATTATATTTTTAGTGATGTAATAAGTGTAATGTGTGACCAGTCGTTCTTATTAATTTCAGTAGTTTAATGCCTCTTTGTAATTAATTTTTCCCCTGGGTTTTAAAGACAAAGATCAGTAGTTGAGGATCTTTTTTCTGTTGAGAGCCATCAAATTAAAAGCAACAATTTCAGGGGTGGGTGGGTGTATTATGAAAAGAAATGCATGTTTAATATGGAAAACTGCAGAAAGAGAAGAAAAAACTCAGTGTTACTATACCACCCAATGCCAACCACTATTTTTGTGTATTTTATGGCCTCTCCCTCCCCCCCGTGTACAATTTTTCTTTTACATAATCCAAATCAGATAGGCATTTTTATGTTCCCACCTCCCACTTAATATTGTTACATAAACATTTTCCATTTTGTAAATGTTTTTATTTAATGGCCCTATAATACATTGTATAAGCATAGCATAAGTCACTAAATACTTTTGTCTTATTGGAGAAATACTTTTTCTATTTTTTTAGTCATTATAAATAACATTGCATTGAATATATTTGTTTTGGGATTATTTCTTTAGGATAGATTCTTGGGAGTGATATTATATTAAAGGGAATATGAATGTTTATAATGCTACATGACATATACCAATATATTTTCTAAAAGAGTTCTTCTAATTTATATATCAGTACCAGTATGAGTGCCATTTGTCATATGCTGACTAAGGTTGGGTATTCTTATTTCTAAAAATCTTTTCTAATTGATAAGCAAAAAGAACATACATTGTTTCTGGTTAATGTTTTCAAATTACTAATGAGGCTGAATATTTCTGACAACTTTTTTTTATTAAATCTTTATTTTTAAAAGTATTACATATTTTCACAACTTTCTTGATCATATCTATTTCTTTTATGAATTTCTATTCATGTTCTTTGCTTCTTAGGATTTTTTTTTATTATATTGTAATTTCTATGCATCAAAGATATTTTTTTTCTGTTGTGCTTGCCAGATAATTTTTGTTAGTATATTCCTTTTAGTTTAAGTAGAAAAAAATCACTTCTTCCTATGTTATTTGCTTTTCCCATCACTTTTAAGCTTAAAAAGACTTATGTTGACTAATGTCTCCACGAAGCAAACTTTAGATCATTTACTAATACTGTTCTTAAGCTTGCTCTCCCATCCGCCCTCTGAAATATCCAAAAATTGTGTAGGAATACCAAAATTTGTAAGAAGAAGCAATCCCTAAATTCCCAGCTAATTTCAGCAGTGAGGAAAGCATAAATTTCTATGCTGTAAAGCAACCAATGGTCAAGTTTTATCAAGTAATGTTAAGAACTGTGACCTATTTGCAACTTATTTACAAAAGCTATGTGGCATTTTCATAATTAGGACATAAATTAGGTGGTATTTGCTTAATGTTGTTAGAGATGAAATTAAGCAGCAGATTAGAGGTCCTGCTTAGATAGATTAAGACCTTTGTTGAAATTGAAAGAACTATGAAATTAGGTTTGCTCAGGAGTGTCTGACATCATAGATGTATGCTCCTTAAAATATCCATATAGAAGTAAGAAATCGCTTGGAGATGTTGAGAAGATATCATGGTGTAGTGGAATAAGCATGGACTACCTCAAGTAGATCAATTTGGTATGAATACCTATTCTTCCACTGGCTTTTATGGAAATTAGGGTAGTTTATTTAACTTCCTGTATGAACCTCATGTTCAAATACTTGTGAGGATTTGATAAAATGAATGTCAAGTATAAAGTTCAGTCCCTGGCCCCAAAGTCGTAGCTTAATTGTGGTAGATAATAAGGTAGTTTGCAATGGTAGAAAGAGCATAATAGGCTTTGGAAATCAGCCTAAGTTCCTGTCTTGGCTCAGCTGTTTTTAGCTGTCAGCAAGTTACTTAACTACTCTGAAACTTTGCTAGCAAGTTTGCCCTAAAGATTAAAAGTGGTTGGTGTAAAGAGCCAGTACATAGTAAACATTCACTAAATAGTAGCAATTGCTATATTAAGTGGTTCTAATTTCTAAGGTTCTATAATATTGATACCATAGTTTTAAATCTGTACAAATCTTTTAAGTTTCATTGCAAATCGAAGATTCCAAGTGACGTTCTTTATTTTAACAGCTGCTTGGTCTAGTGTGGATAGGGGAATGAATACCTCTGAACAGAATTCTGCTTCTTTTGCATCTCTCACACTTAACTCTGCTGTTCCTGGTATGTGAAAACAGTCTTTCATTTAGTTAACAAAAAATTTCTGTTTAATTTAGCTCTTGCTATTTGAAAAGTAGTGTCAAGTATTGCTATCAACATAATAATAGATAAATAATATAAATGACAGAGGCCTTAATAAAAGGGGAAGAAAGACCTAAGTTCTTAATCTGCAAGTGACTGAGTTCCTTTCTGCAGTGGACATAAGATTCTGTGGCCCAACATAACTGGAAGTGCTTTGGCACACAGACAAGTACAAATGGAAGGCCTTCCTTTCAGGGTCAAGATACTCTGCTGTTACTAGCGTACTCCTGCCGTACTTGTAATTTGGCATTTTGTTTCTATTTTCTCTTATTCATCGTAAGTTTATAGTGAAGCTTTTCAGGTTATATGGGCTCTCACATAATCACTCTACTTGAGTATATATTGATCAGAAAGTATATTATTGCTAGTAAACTTCTAAAATTTCAGCATAACTTAAATAGATATGCCTTCTATTAATCATATAGAAGCTATAAGTACCTAACAAATATTACTTAAACATGGGGAGATGTTTAGTTTGTAATGCTTGGTTGATGTTGGAATTCATGGACCCAGTGTACTAATTATGTGGTTCCCCAGTGTCTGGAGTCACTAGTCTAGAAATGGGATCAGCAGACACTTTCTGTAGAGAGCCCAATAGTAAATATTTGAGGCTTTGTGAGCCAAACTATCTCTGTTCCAGCTACTGAATTGTATCGTAACAGGAAAGCAGCCAGAAGTGATACATAAACAGAGGAGTGTCTGGTTCTGAAATATTAAATTCTTTTGATTTTTTTCCCCCAACCACCTAAAAATCTGGTATTATTCTTAGCTCATAGGGTATACAAAAGAAGGGGTGGCTGGATTTGGGCTATGGGTAATAGTTTGCCAATTCCTAGTCTCAGAATACATTTTACTTCCAGAGGTACAAGTTAATTGCTGCCTTCATTTGGTGACTTTGTACAACATAGGTGCTATTCCCTTCATATATTCAGAGAAAGTAGCATGGGCTGCTAAAGAAATAGCAACAGTGTTACTATAGCGCCTCTAAGCAGTACATGTGCTAATTATATATGAATTTTTATAGTGTTACTCTGTTAAAATTTACATAAAATACATAACTATTGAGTATATCAAGCAGTTATATTAGGGGAATGCTAGTAAAATTTGTTAGTAAAGACTTTGATCAGAGGAAGTGATTGTATCTTTTATACTAACAGGTATTTTTCTTAACCAATTCTTTATATCAGTGACTCTGAATCCAAAGTGAATATTAGAGTCACCTAAGGATTCTGATACATACCGAGATTCTTATTCAGAAGGCCTGGGGTATATATATCCCGGATGAAGAACATCTGCATTCTGAAATGAATGTATGGCTATAGAGCAGGGTGTTTTGACCTGGCACCCATGAATTTATATGACCCTAAAACTATATGCAATTTTTTGTGTAAGTTCTGGACAGTAGTCTACCACAGCTGTTACCAGATTCTTACGGACTATATGACCACCACCACCCTCCTCACTTCTTCTCCATCCACCCCAAAAAAGAAAAGTAAAAACAGAAAACACTTAGAATATAGCTGACCCTTGAACAATGCAGGAGTTAGGAACATTGACACCCCCCACACACACCCCGCACAGTTGAAAATACTTGACTACTGATAGGCTACTGTGGACTGGAAGCCTTACTGAAAACATAAACAGTGTGTTAACACATACTTTGTATGTTTTATATATATTATATACTGTAGTCTTAACAATAAAGTAAGCTAAAGAAAACTGTTGCGAAAACCATAAGGAAGAGAAAGTATTTACAAAAATTTTACTGGGAAAACAAATTGTGAATAAGTGGACCCACGCCATTCAAACCCATATCATTCAAGGGTCAACTGTATTCTCTTTTCATTAAATGCACCTGAATTTAACTTGGTCTCTAAACCACCAGCATAACTCTTCTTATCTCTTTGGCTTCTCACTGCCTTAACTCTCTAGAACAGCGGTTCTCAACCTGTGGATCGCGACCCCTTTGGGGGTCGAACAACCCTTTCACGGGGGTCACCTAAGACCATCGGAAAACACATATATAATTACATATTGTTTACAGTAGCAAAATTACAGTTATGAAGTAGCAACGAAAATAATTTATGCTTGGGGGGTCACCACAACATGAGGAACTGTATTAAAGGGTCGCGGCATTACGAAGGTTGAGAACCACTGCTCTAGAATAATCATCTCTCTCTTCTTTAACTTTTCCTTAGGCAAAAAATTCTAGCAAACTCAGACATTTTCTAGTTCTCTCCTTCAGGGTTTTAAGGATATAGACTACCCTGAAACATCCAGGATTTCTTTTGTGCTTTATCATTTTCAATTAAGAAGAGAGATAAAACTTTTTTATTGAAAGTATTACAGATTTCCGTTTTATTTCCCCATTGACCCCCTTCATCCTGCACCCGTTCCCCCAATAAAACTTTTTTGACCTTTTGAAATATATAGATAACTAGTTTGAAGAATATATTATAAAAGATAAAATCTAATGGATTGGTACTAAGGAAAAATATATTTCTTATTAGTGAATTAGATCAAATGATTATTATGTGTAATCTAAAATTACCCTTAATTCTACTTTTCCTTTATCTTAACTCTTATAATGTCTGAGGTTTTTTTTTTTTTGGTTTTTTTTTTAGGAGAAATAAAAAAAAAATTAAGTCTCCATATGCAAAATATAGAATTGTTATGAAACATCATTAGAAAATTCCATTTTTAATTTTATTGCATTCGTTTTCATTTAAGGGTCTACTGCTGAGCCAGTTTCTCAGTCTACCACTTCTGATTATCAGTGGGATGTTAGCCGTAATCAGCCCTATATCGATGATGAATGGTCTGGGTTAAGTATGTCCTTTTAAAAATTATCAGTTTGGGGGGTTTTTCTGTTTGATTTTGTTTCTTTTTCAGAATTTCTAGCTTCCTGAATTCATGCTTTATATTTTAATTTTAATCCTACTTTCTAACCTTTTAGGTCATAGTAATCTAATCTAATACCAAATGTATTACTTGTAAACTAATTGTTGAATACCTATAGAATTAAAACTAAATTCACTTTTTATGATTGAGATGATATTTAAACATGAAATTGTCTTATAGTTTTACAATTTTTGTTTTAAGTGAATGTTCTAAAATATATCGGAATAGATTTGAATTTGTGAGGCGTGCAAGTTTTTTTATTGGTAGAAAACCATTTCTTTAGCCTAGTTTCTAATAGAAGCATAAGGACATGAAAGGCAAGAGTTATTTAACAAAGCAAAACAAAAAGGAAGGGAAAAATATAATGGTTTTTATGTTAGAAATCTCATTCTTTTTTTTTTTTAATTGGATTTTTTTTAAAACTCCAAACCTCCAAATTTACTCCTTTCTCAGAATTTTTACAGCACATCATTTTTTCTGTTATTTATTTAGCATTTACTTTTGGAATTTTCTACTATTTTCACCTTGATTAAAATTTTTTTTTAGGAATATGTTTTGGCCCTATCCAGTTTGGCTTAGTGGATATAGCATCAGCCTGCAGACTGAAGGGTCCTGGGTTTGATACTGGTCAAGGGCACATGCTCAGGTTGTGGGCTCGACCCCCAGTAGGGGCCGTGCAGGAGGCAACCAATAATGGTTCTCATCATTGATGTTTCTATCTCTCTCACCCTCTCCCTTCCTCTCTGAAATCAATCAAAATATATTTAAAGAAAAAAAAAAGAATGTGTTTTGTTTCTTCAAGTAGACTTGAAATCTCTGAAGACAGGAACTCTCGCTCTTTTATATCCTCAGTACCTAGTGCAGCACTTTTACACAGGTGTTCAGTAGTAATAATGATTATAGCACACATGTGGCTATGTGCCAGGCACCGCTCTAAATATATATATTAGAGAGGAAGGGAGAGGAAGAGTTAGAAACATCAATGATGAGAGAGAATCATCGATTGGCTTCCTCCTGCACGTCCCCTACTGGGGATCAAGCCCGCAACCTGGGGATGTGCCCTGACTAGGAATCGAACCCATGACCTCCTGATTCATGGGCTGATGCTCAACCACTGAGCTACACTGGCCAGGCACTGCTCTAAGTCTTGTAAATACTGTTAATTTAGTGCTTATAACAATTCCATGAAGTGGGTGTTATTTTTTTCCCCATACTTACCATATTAAGAAACTGAGGCAAAGGAAAGTTACCTAACTTCCAGCCTGGCCACGCAGCTCAAGTTAAGTGGAGGAGATGATATCAAACTTTCGTAGTCTAGCTCCAGAGTTCATGCTTTTAACCACTACGTGGTACAGCCTTGGTGATGATTGTAATCATGAAGGTAAGCTCGAAACAGCACAAGGATTAGTGTGTACACTGATTAGTCTCTATATAGATTAGTTGAAGCACAATTCTTATAGTTTAAGGGAGATGAAGTTGAAAAGGTAGATTAGGGAGGACCATGTCGTGAAAAGCCTTGAATTGCTGGCTAAAGATTAGGAAGCTGAGGGTTGGAGTTTCTGGTTTAGAATGTGTATCCCAGTTCTAGTCCTGACTTTAAAATGTAGTACCTCATATGGCTTAGACTTTTTCTTCTCACTTATCTTGGAATCTAGATTAATTGAGTTGTAAAATGGAGCAAAAGAGACTTTGGGAAGAATGATCAAGTTTATGCCCAATAGAATTGAGGCGTGATTAAAGAACAATAGGAGTGATGGTAAGAAAAAAGCAGGAGTGAGGTGGAAATGTCTTGGGCAGCTGTGGCATGAGGCTGAGGAAAACTGAGCAAACAAAGCCCTAGACTTCTCAACTTGGATAGAACAACTCCTCTTTCGTCTCTTTAACTATTTTTGTAATACGAAAAATATGATTGGCTGCTACAACAAGACTGAGAAACATGTATCCACATGACTCTGTACTTAAAGTAGTAAGTATCAGGAATACCATCTTTCTCAAGCTTGTTATGCTGTATTGGCAGTCTTTTAAGTCCAAAGTTTCTGTTTAACCTCATTTCCAGTGTGAATTTTATTTTGTGTTGTCATCTTTAATGTGGCTAATGTTGGTACTTGATGAATGTACTTATTCCTTCTAAATTTGTAGAGGGCATGATTTAATATTTGAGATTACTAATCCACAAAGTGTGTACACACATACACACACACACTAGCTTTACATTTCAGTGTAAT